AAGATTACCGAATTTGGCAATCCAGCTCTTCCAGCTCTTACTCATTCTCTCTCTCTTTCTGGCAGGGCAGAGCGAGATAGAACGGCTGGTGTTGGTGTAAGAGAGAGAGAGAGACATGTGTAGCGGAATAACAACAGTTGTGAAATGGAAAAAAAACACGGACAGAAACGCGGTCCTCCTCTCTTTTTTTCTCTATGACAAGTGCAAGAAAATTTGAGATTTTTTAGAGATCGCTACTCCCCGCCTTAATTAACAAATCAATAAACAGATATAAATTGCACTCTGCTTCAGAAGTCGATTTTTTTTTGGCATAAAGTCGAAGTTTTTATGTTCAGTAGTTTTGCTATTAAATTCCTAAATTAAATTGATCATACAAACATATTGAAAGCTAAAAAATAAACGTTAAAAGCTATTCTAAAGCTTTTTGCAAGCTTTCAAAAGTAAACCATCTGTTAGCTGATTACACTACTCAACACGATTTTTCCTCAAGGATCCGAACCGACTGTTTCTAATAGATTTTGGCTTTGAAGTTGTTTGATGACAGTATTTTTTGTCTAATTTCCAATATAATTTCCTATGCTGAGGGCAATTACAAAAACAAAAGGGATCGCAGGGCAATGGGCATCGCTGCTTTAAACGATGCTTTATTTATTCACCTATACAACAAAATATAAGGACACAGGATATCATTTTTTTCGAATTTTCCTGAGTTTTTTAAGTCAAAATTTAAAAAAAACGAGAAGGAACGTGCGAGTCGCTTCTGGGGACGCGACTCTACTTATACCCGTACTCAGTCAGTATATTTAATCTTATGATTTTTTAAAATTTTAGAAAGAAAAAAAAATTTTACATTTTACATTTTTTTGCTACATCTGATATCTACATCTACAATGTATATTCTACATCTAACATGTAGATTGTACAATGTACATGTTCCATTTAGATTCTACATCTCCTCCGCTAGGGAATGCTCGCGCACTGAACGCGGCAGAGTGTGCGAGCGAGAAGGAAAATGAGTTGCGTTGTCGTTTGCGGGAGGGGGGACAGGGGAAGCAACTGAAAATTAATTTCTTCATTCTGGCTATAATTATGATCCGATCTGATTTAGATTCGGCAATCTGGTAGATATGGGCATTCTCTACGATACTGCGTTTTTAGTTTTATCGTATCTTTAAAAATGTGCCTGCCACAGATTTTCGTTCTTTGTGGGGGCGAAAGGGGGCGGGGCGAAATTTTGAAATACACTTGTAGCAGTGTGATATCACATGAGTGTGGAAACCAAATTTGGTTGCCTTAGCTCTTATAGTCTCTAAAATCTAGGTGCTCAACAAGACGGACAGACAGACAGACAGACGGACAGACAGACATGGCTCTATCGACTCGGCTATTGATGCTGATCAAGAATATATATACTTTATGGGGTCGCAAAATGTTCCTTCTCTGCGTTACACACATCCACTTTTACCACAAATCTAATATACCACTTAACTCTTTTTTGAGTACAGGTATAAAAAAGGGGTTTACTGTATTTCGTTGTGCCCGTACAATTACAAATGATGCCACACATCCTGAACGCCCAGTTATGGTCTTATACCCGAAGAAAATGAACAAATTCACAATGGTGTTGGCCGTTCGGAGATTGAAATCGGTAAATATTTTGAAGGCATAGGCAACTACATGGCTAAGTGGTTTTAATTATAAATGATCACTTGTGTATGAAAAAACTATTCGCAATATGGCTCGCGTTTGCTCACAATCGACAAAAACGCACTCGTGAGACAACTTCGAAGGAGTGTTTGGAGATGTTTAACCACAATAAGGACGAGTTTTTTTGGCGTTTCGTAAACGTGGATTAACCGTGAATCAATCACAACCCATCAGAGACCAAAAAAGACAAAACAGTTAGTTGCTCAGGGTGATTCTAGGCAAAAGAAGGTTCAGGTAGGTTTTTACACCCGTACTTAAAAAGAGTTAAGAGTTGTGGTAAAAGTCGATGTGTGCAACGCAGAGAAGGAAACGTTTCCAACCCCATAAAGTATATATATTCATGATCAGCATCAAAAGCCCAGTCAATATAGCCATGTCCGTCCGTCGTGCCTGAGTTCTCAGGACATTAGTTCTAGAGCAACCCAATTTGTGCAGGCACCTTTTATATGACACTGAATCAAGTTTGTTTTCAAAATTTATCCACGGCCAATACCCCTACACAAGGACGAAAATCTGTATAAAGCAATTTCAAAGATACGAGAAAAAAGCAGTAATAGGATGACGATATCTAGAAGATTACCGAATTTGGCAATCCAGCTCTTCCAGCTCTTACTCATTCTCTCTCTCTCTCTCTTTCTGGCGTGGCAGAGCGAGATAGAACGGCTGGTGTTGGTGTAAGAGAGAGAGAGACATGTGTAGCGGAATAACAACAGTTGTGAAATGTGAAAAAAACACGGAAAGAAACGCGGTCCTCCTCTCTTTTTCTCTATGACAAGTGCAAGAAAATTTGAGAGATTTTTAAGAGATCGCTACTCCCCGCCTTAATTAACAAATCAATAAACAGATATAAATTGCACTCTGCTTCAGAAGTCGATTTTTTTTTTGGCATAAAGTCGAAGTTTTTATGTTCAGTAGTTTTGCTATTAAATTCCTAAATTAAATTGATCATACAAACAAATTGAAAGCTAAAAAATAAACGTTAAAAGCTATTCTAAAGCTTTTTGCAAGCTTTCAAAAGTAAACCATCTGTTAGCTGATTACACTACTCAACACGATTTTTCCTCAAGGATCCGAACCGACTGTTTCTAATAGATTTTGGCTTTGAAGTTGTTTGATGACAGTATTTTTTGTCTAATATGCAATATATGTACATACATACATATACACATTACTGGTCGTCGCTGTTATCTTCCTTAATGGTGGTTTTTATACCCGTACTCAAAAAGAGTTAAGAGTTGTGGTAAAAGTGGATGTGTGCAACGCAGAGAAGGAAAAGTTTCCAACCCCATAAAGTAAATATATTCTTGATCAGCATCAATAGCCGAGTCGATATAGCCATGTCTGTCCGTCGTGCTTGACGCCTAGTTCTCAGGGACATTAGTTCTAGAGCAACCCAATTTGTGCAGGCACCTTTTATATGACACTGAATCAAGTTTGTTTTCAAAATTTATCCACGGCCAATACCCCTACACAAGGACGAAAATCTGTAGTAAAGCAATTTCAAAGATACGAGAAAAAAGCAGTATCATAGAGAATGACGATATCTAGAAGATTACCGAATTTGGCAATCCAGCTCTTCCAGCTCTTACTCATTCTCTCTCTCTCTCTTTCTGGCGTGGCAGAGCGAGATAGAACGGCTCGTGTTGGTGTAAGAGAGAGAGACATGTGTAGCGGAATAACAACAGTTGTGAAATGGAAAAAAACACGGAAAGAAACGCGGTCCTCCTCTCTTTTTCTCTAAGACAAGTGCAAGAAAATTTGAGAGATTTTTTAGAGATCGCTACTCCCCGCCTTAATTAACAAATCAATAAACAGATATAAATTGCACTCTGCTTCAGAAGTCGATTTTTTTTTGGCATAAAGTCGAAGTTTTTATGTTCAGTAGTTTTGCTATTAAATTCCTAAATTAAATTGATCATACAAACAAATTGAAAGCTAAAAAATAAACGTTAAAAGCTATTCTAAAGCTTTTTGCAAGCTTTCAAAAGTAAACCATCTGTTAGCTGATTACACTACTCAACACGATTTTTCCTCAAGGATCCGAACCGACTGTTTCTAATAGATTTTGGCTTTGAAGTTGTTTGATGACAGTATTTTTTGTCTAATATGCAATATATGTACATACATACATATACACATTACTGGTCGTCGCTGTTATCTTCCTTAATGGTGGTTTTTATACCCGTACTCAAAAAGAGTTAAGAGTTGTGGTAAAAGTGGATGTGTGCAACGCAGAGAAGGAAAAGTTTCCAACCCCATAAAGTAAATATATTCTTGATCAGCATCAATAGCCGAGTCGATATAGCCATGTCTGTCCGTCGTGCTTGACGCCTAGTTCTCAGGGACATTAGTTCTAGAGCAACCCAATTTGTGCAGGCACCTTTTATATGACACTGAATCAAGTTTGTTTTCAAAATTTATCCACGGCCAATACCCCTACACAAGGACGAAAATCTGTAGTAAAGCAATTTCAAAGATACGAGAAAAAAGCAGTATCATAGAGAATGACGATATCTAGAAGATTACCGAATTTGGCAATCCAGCTCTTCCAGCTCTTACTCATTCTCTCTCTCTCTCTTTCTGGCGTGGCAGAGCGAGATAGAACGGCTCGTGTTGGTGTAAGAGAGAGAGACATGTGTAGCGGAATAACAACAGTTGTGAAATGGAAAAAAAACACGGAAAGAAACGCGGTCCTCCTCTCTTTTTCTCTAAGACAAGTGCAAGAAAATTTGAGAGATTTTTTAGAGATCGCTACTCCCCGCCTTAATTAACAAATCAATAAACAGATATAAATTGCACTCTGCTTCAGAAGTCGATTTTTTTTTTTGGCATAAAGTCGAAGTTTTGATGTTCAGTAGTTTTGCTATTAAATTCCTAAATTAAATTGATCATACAAACATATTGAAAGCTAAAAAATAAACGTTAAAAGCTATTCTAAAGCTTTTTGCAAGCTTTCAAAAGCTAACCATCTGTTAGCTGATTACACTACTCAACACGATTTTTCCTCAAGGATCCGAACCGACTGTTTCTAATCGATTTTGGCTTTGAAATTGTTTGATGACAGTATTTTTTGTGTAATATGAAATATACATATGTATGTACATACATACATATACACATTACTGGTCGTCACTGTTATCTTCCTTAATGTTGGTTTGTATAATTTTAATTAACTAATCAGAAAATTGCAATTTCATACTGCAAACGATTTTACATGTACATAATACAAAAGCGGATCAATTAGTCCGAGACCTTTTGAATTTCCCTTCACATTGATAGCAGTTTCTCGTGCTTTGAAGAAAAAAGTAAAATTCGTGTTCGCATTAAGCATTATTTATTGTGGAAAACACCACCACTGAAACCAAGGAAAAGCTTGATAAGTACAATGGGATCTATTCTCCATCGATTTCAATGGTAAAAAAGGGGTTTACTGTATTTCGTTGTGCCCGTACAATTACAAATGATGCCACACTTCCTGGACGCCTAGTTATGGTCTTATACCCGAAGAAAATGAACGAATTCACAATGGTGTTGGCCGTTCGGAGATTGAAATCGCAAAATATTTTGAAGGCATAGGCAACTATATGGCTAAGTGGTTTCAATTATAAATGATCACTTGTGTATGAAAAAACTATGCGCAATATGGCTCGCGTTTGCTCACAATCGACAAAAAACGCACTCGTGAGACAACTTCGAAGGAGTGTTTGGAGATGTTTAACCACAATAAGGACGAGTTTTTTTGGCGTTTCGTAAACGTGGATTAACCGTGAATCAATCACAACCCATCAGAGACCAAAAAAGACAAAACAGTTCGTTTCTCAGGGTGATTCTAGGCAAAAGGAGGTTCAGGTGGGTTTTTATACCCGTACTCAAAAAGAGTTAAGAGTTGTGGTAAAAGTGGATGTGTGCAACGCAGAGAAGGAAACGTTTCCAACCCCATAAAGTATATATATTCATGATCAGCATCAAAAGCACAGTCGATATAGCCATGTCCGTCCGTCCTGCTTGACGCCTAGTTCTCAGGGACATTAGTTTTAGAGCAACCCAATTTGTGCAGGCACCTTTTATACGACACTGAATCAAGTTTGTTTTCAAAATTTATCCACGGCCAATACCCCTTACACAAGGACGAAAATCTGTAGTAAAGCTATCTAGAAGATTACCGAATTTGGCAATCCAGCTCTTCCAGCTCTTACTCATTCTCTCTCTCTCTTTCTGGCAGGGCAGAGCGAGATAGAACGGCTGGTGTTGGTGTAAGAGGGAGAGAGACATGTGTAGCGGAATAACAACAGTTGTGAAATGGGAAAAAAACACGGAAAGAAACGCGGTCCTCCTCTCTGTTTCTCTATGACAAGTGCAAGAAAATTTGAGAGATTTTTAAGAGATCGCTACTCCCCGCCTTAATTAACAAATCAATAAACAGATATAAATTGCACTCTGGTTTAGAAGTCGATTTTTTTTTGGCATAAAGTCGAAGTTTTGATGTTCAGTAGTTTTGCTATTAAATTCCTAAATTAAATTGATCATACAAACATATTGAAAGCTAAAAAATAAACGTTAAAAGCTATTCTAAAGCTTTTTGCAAGCTTTCAAAAGCTAACCATCTGTTAGCTGATTACACTACTCAACACGATTTTTCCTCAAGGATCCGAACCGACTGTTTCTAATAGATTTTGGCTTTGAAGTTGTTTGATGACAGTATTTTTTGTCTAATATGCAATATATGTACATACATACATATACACATTACTGGTCGTCGCTGTTATCTTCCCTAATGGTGGTTTTTATACCCGTACTCAAAAAGAGTTAGGGGGTATATTAGATTTGTGGTAGAAGTGGATGTGTATAACGCAGAGAAGAAAACGTTTCCGACCCCATAAAGTATATATATTCTTGATCAGCATCAATAGCCGAGTCGATATAGCCATGTCTGTCTGTCTCGATGAGCGCCTAGATCTCAGAGACTATAAGAGCTAGGGCAACCAAATTTGGTTTCCAGACTCATGTGATATCACACTGCTACAAGTGTATTTTAAAAAATTTCGCCGCGCCCCCTTCCACCACACAAAGGACGAAAATCTGTGGCAGACACATTTTTAAAGATACGATAAAACTAAAAACGCAGTATCGTAGAGAATGACAATATCTACCAGATTGCCGATTCTCTATACCCGTACTCAAAAAAGAGTTAAGGGGTATATTAGATTTGTGGTAAAAGTGGATGTGTGCAACGTAGAGAAGGAAACGTTTCCGACCCCATAAAGTATATATATTCTTGATCAGCATCAATAGCCGAGTCTATATAGCCATGCCCGTCTGTCCGTCCGTCCGTCTTGATGAGCGCCTGGATCTCAGAGACTATAAGAGCTAGAGAAACCAAATTTGGTTTCCAGACTCATGTGACATCACACTGCTACAAGTGTATTTCAAAATTTCGCCCCGCATCCTTCCGCACAACAAAGGACGAAATATAAGAGGAGCTCATTTGGAGGTTTAAAACAGCGATTGGGAGAAGAGTTGGCTGCCATCTGTACACAGGAGTCTCTGCCGGTTGCCGGTTGCCGGTTGGTGTGAGCTGTGCTGTGTGAGCGGCAGCGTGCAGCGTATTTGTACCTTTTATAATAGAGGGCTTACGCCTGATTTAGCTTTCCACAGTGGGAATCGTTTGCTAGTTGGGGAGAGTTGCTCCATATAGGATATTTGAGCTCGGTTTTTTCATCTTCTAGGGCTCTGCGTAGTAGGTGGTTGGCTATTTTTAGCCGCTCTTTCGAGGCAGGTGATCTGTGTGATTGCCACTCTCGGCGAAGCCTTCTTTTATCGCGTAGCAGCTCTTCAATGTGCCTAGAAATACGACTGCTGCTGGAAAGTTTATTAGGTGATAATATTTGTATTGAGTGTTTTGCCGCCAGTGACATTCAGGATACTAATGCTTCGCCTGACCTATCAATGTCATCTTCACAATTAATGTTTGGGCAGCTATCAATATGAGAGCTTATGTACTTCCTGTATTTGAGCCAATATTTTTTGCTAGAAGTTAGAAAGTGTGGGCGTTCCGAAAGCTGTAGATGGTCGTTAAGGTGAAGTAAAATGGTGATCTACATGAATCTGAGCTTGCAGCACTCTTCGCAAAACTGCAAAATCATTCAAGTCGGGTTGCTTAATTGGTTCTGTGGGCCAATATGTAGGCTTACCCGGAGAGATAGAGTCTAGCTTGTTTCGTGGCGTTATTATAGCGTTATATAGTTGTCTTCCTTTCGGGTTGGTAAGTCGAGATCCCCAATGAGTGTGCTTGGCATTGTAGTCACCAGCTGCTATAAATGGGTCAGCTAGTAGGTCGAACAATTTTACCAAATTCTGTTTCGGAAATGCAGAAGCGCGGTGGGCATTATACTGCGGCTTAGTTTGGGTAGCCGCTCTGAATTTCAATATGAATTGATGTTGCCTGTAGATAAGGTGTAGCAAATGATGGCAATGGATAATGCCTGATGCGATGCTTGATCAGAACGCCAGCACCTCCTTGTGCCTAATCATCACGATGATTTTTCGCATAGAAGTTATAGTTATCTGAGCATGGCGTCCATGTCGTGTTGAGCGAGGAACTGTAAGAGCTCGCATTTGTGCTGCGAAATGCCATTTGCATTCCAGAAATATATATTTAGATAGTCCATTTAAGCAGATTTCTGTTTGATTAGGAGCTCCAGGAGAAGGAATTGGTTACGCATAAGCTCCTGCATCGTTTGTTGTATTGCTACCATTGTGTTTGTTATAGTAATCAGGACTCAATTCCACTAGGAAATTGGGATGGGGATTGCAGGAGTATGCTGGGCAGTAATTTCTGGGATCTGATTAGATCCCTGATGCTGCATTATTCCTGCAGTGGTTGGTTGAAGTGTTGGCTTAGAGACTGAGGCGTTCGACCCGTTGTTGTAACTTAACGCCTGAGCAAAAGAAACTCCTGGAGTCGTAGTTGATGGTATATATGGTAAGCTTTGTCGGATGACCGGGTTTCGAGCTGCAGTTATTTTTTGTTGGCTTAGGGAAATTTTTCAATTCTTTATAGACAAGACAACCTTTATAGTTGGCAGTATGGTTTCCCCCACAGTTGCTACATTTTTTGGCAGATGGGTCCTCCCTATTAACGGGGCAGGCCTCAGTGAGATGGACATCCCCACAGGCCACGCAGACTGCCCGTAGAGTGCAATAAGTTTTTGTGTTTTTTTCCTGGCAATTTGAGCATTGGACTAGTTTTTTTGGTTCCTCAACGGTGATCCTACGGTGAAGATTGTAGATTTTCTTTTTATACTTTTTTACACTTTTTTTTTTTTTTGCTACTTCTGTTATCTACATCTACATATACTATGTATATTATAAATCTAACATGTAGATTATACATGTACCATTTAGATTCTACATCTCCTCCGCTAGGGGTTGCTCGCGCACTGAACGCGGCAGTGTGCGAGCGAGAAAGAGAACGAGTGGTTGGTTTCTTGCAGGAGCGGGCGGCGGAAGCAACAGAAAATTTATTTCTTCATTCTGGCTATAATTATGATCCGATCTGATTCAGATTCGGCAATCTGATAGATATGCTCATTCTCTACGATACTGTGTTTTTATTTTTATCGTATGATTAAAATTGTGTCTGCCACAGATTTTCGTCTTTTTTGGGGGCGGAAGGGGGCTCCCTTCCTTCCTTACCCCTTAACTCTTTTTGAGTACGGGTATAATGAAAGCTTGCAATAGTATTTCTTACAAATGAAAGAGTTAGCTTCACGCGGGAAGATCGAAGACAGTGCGCTAGTTCAATATATAATTGAGAATGCTAAAAAAATACAAGATTTCAAGGATAAACTAAAGTCTTACGATATTATTCGCGGAAAAGAAAAAAATGAAAACAAAGGTCAAGGCATGTTAAACAAAAATAAAGAAAAGCGCGAATATACAAATCAAACGATACAAGATAAAAATGTAAATAAAGACAAAGATGTTACAACTTTGGCTCGAAAGGGCCTACATCGGCTGACCGTGAAAATAAAAACAAGGGTAGAAAGTGTTTTGGGTGCAACAATTTTGGACACATTGCAAAAGAATGCCCAAGCAAAGGTAAAAAGTTTGACTCAAGCAATACACGCATACATACAAGTCACATTAGCGCACGAGTTTATGTGCAAAGAAGTCACGATAAATAACAATAAATACACGGCCCTAATCGACACCGGCAGTAAATATAACTTAATACCTGAATCGACATATATAAAATTACGTAAGCCAATTTGGAAAGAGTGCAACATATACTTAATCGGGTTCGGAAAGAAAACTCAATCCAAAGTAAAGCCATTGGGCTCATTTAAACAGCAATTGCTGATTAACGTAGATGAGTTCAAAACTAATTTTCTGCTGGTAGACTCGCAATTCCTACATGAAGAAATGGTACTTGGTGAGGAGTTTTGCAAGCAAGCCCCAATTTCAATAAACAATAAAGGTGTGACAATTTCCAAACCGCAAATTTCTGAATGTAATGTAAATGTAATTTTCTGAAGACCAAGACCGAATATTTAGGCCACATTATCAAGTATCAGCGAGTGAGTCCGTTCCCAACGAAGACGAACTTACTCACTTTCCGATTCCAGGCAACCTTAAGCCACTCCAAAGTTTTCTCGGGCTAGTGGGATACTTCAGAAAGTTTATCGCCAATTCTTCACAAATCGCGAAACCACTCTAAGATCTTACCAAAAACGATGAAAGGATTCAGTTTGGAAAATCGAGTTAGCTGCATATAACCAACTAAAATTGCTCATCACACAAAAGCCAATATTGAAGATCTTCCATCAACAGCATGAAACCGAACTGCACACAGACGCCTCAATTGACGGATTCGGCGCAGTTCTCTGCAGATGTCAACTGATGATAAGCAGTGGCACCCTGTCTATTATATGAGCAAGAAGACGTCCGATGCCGAAAGAAAGTTCACGAGTTACGAGCTGGAAATCTTAGCAGTCATATTCGCTCTGAGAAAATTCCGTGTTTATTTACTGGGTCTACACTTTAAGCTGATTATAGACTGTAACGCGCTAGCAAAAACAATCGATAAATAATCGATATGTACACGTGTAGCTCGCTGGGTCCTAATGCTACTAGAATTCAGCTACGACGTCGAGCACAGAGCCGGAACACACATACGCCATGCAGACGCATAATGACTTTTTCATGAAATCTGGTCTACTGCATAAACTGGTCAACGATAATGAGCTAATTGTAGTACCTATGGGATTACAGAGGGAAATTATCAAGCAAGCACATGAGCGG